TCTAGAAACAAAGGTGCGGCTGATACGCGAAAAAGGTCTAGAAGTGCGCCGTGTGTATGCCGCTTGTTTTTGTTTGCACACACCTTTGCAACTTTGGGGGGATGGGGAGGTTGTTTACTTACTAGTTAGCTAGCTATCACCCGAAAGTTTATTTCTTCTTGGGGAAATTAATGATCTCGATGGCCCGCGCCTTGCCAGCCTCGCCGTGGAGGCCTTTTTGGAAGGGGGTGGGAAACGCAGTGCTAATCGGGGCGCGCGTGTTTGTGATGAAAGATGATTTCGTGGGGTGATGTGCAAGTACCGAGGTTGATCAACTGGGGGAATGGGGAACAAGGGTCCATGGTCTTTTTTTTCTTTTTTTTGCAATCGTTACCAACGGGTGTTCTCGGGATTTGGTGAGTGTGGGGGTTATATGGTTTTTCTTCGCTGTTTCGTATTCCTGTTGCTATATTTATTGTTCAATACTTGTGGCTTTTTGATTCTGCATGCCGTGATATTGGTATCTGGAAGGAAAGGACTACCTTGTCATTCTCCTCCCACCACCATCTAGCTGGCTCGAATACTTCTGGGCAGGGTCCGTTCAGATCAAGCCCTGAGTATGACATGCCTGCTGAGCATTCCTTGGAAATTTATGATTTAGAAACTACGTTTTCATGGCTCAAAAACGCCTCCCAAAAACAGGCCATTTGCAGACATGTCAGGGACACGGGTTCACAGAAATAAATGCAAACTAGTCGATACGAAGCAGCCCCGATTTGGCTTGTCTACACACTAGCAAAGGCGCCTCTGTACTCAGAAATCGAAAGGCAGCCTTCAATGGCGCTACGTAGTTCCGCTAGTCCAGTCCCTTGCATTCAGCTGCCTGCACTAGAGTCAATACCCGAGACATTGAACCATTGAACCATCCAGCCCACAGAAAAGTCCCACACCCCCCTTGACGCCACACCTACACAACTGACATCGGATTGCACGTTTTCTCAGGCGCACAATGACTCACGAGGGTCTGGTGGAGATGAACCACACGACCTTTAGTTGCAGCTGGTACCAGATAGCCCCGGTATCAAGAAGTGCCGGCTTTCCTCCTCGGTAGATGCGCCCTCCAGATTGGGTCGCCTTCTCGTCTGACATGGCCTAACCTTCGTTCAACTTCCACCACAACCTCGTGAAACGGGACCCTTCTCTTGATACTGAACGTTGTTTGGCAAGTGCTACAATCAATGCTAATGCGCGTTGAAAAGCGACCATCCATCATCATCATCTCCTGGCAGTCCCCAACCATACCCTCGATTACTTCTGTATCACAAGCATTCATGTGCGGACAGATTTTGAGATTTAGGAGAGCCAGCGCATCTTTCGTCTGATGAACCGAGACAGGCACAGTCCAGGGTACCGTCAGAAGCAGAAACCTTGATCGAAGAGTGACTGTATGCGTTTGGGGAGCAAGAGATAGTGTGGGAGGATGTAAACATCGGCCTGGACGGCGTCTTTCAGGCGGAAGCTCGTAGCACTCGATGCAATGGAAAAAGTCGCCAAACTTGTTCTTACGTCCTTTTCTCGCGTTCTTTCGCAACAGACTGGCCATTTCCAAGAAGGTAAACTCGTTGTGCTGACACACGAAGAAGGGACCGTCGGTTGCTCGGAAGCATCTGCGCAAGTGTCGTGGTTGTGCTATCGTACCCTCTGGAAACCTAAAAGGCGCATGCGGCCGGTTACATTCTACACAGTACAGTATACCAGCTCTGCGTTCAACCCAGGCATAGGGACGGCAGCCGTGACCGTAAAAACGGTCTCTTTTTATTCTGCTCCTGATATCTTTGATGTGCGGTTGCTTGACCGCCTGTGGATTGCAGATGGCGAGAAGGGCATCGGCATATTTATAGCTCGTTAGTACGAAGCAAATACGGTCCGCATAATCTAGGAACGTGCCGATGTGTTGGGCAATCTCGTATGGCAGAGTGTAGAGCAAACTGTTGTGTGTATTTTGAGTGTAGCTCTGCGTGGCGTGTCGAAAGGCAACAGATGACCGGGTTAGTTTTTTGACGAGGCTGTTGGGCATATTGCTGGCTGGGAGGTTGTAAATATGCCACCGTGTTTCTTTGTGCAATCAGCACAGATATGAATCAATTGAAGTTTTGCTTGCAAATGTGCATGGTTCGCTAAGAGTGTTGTTTCCATGGCTGTGAGGTTATGAAGCAACCAGTCAGTGGGAGCAAATCGTCAAGGGCATGTCCTGGTTGTTGGATTCGTGGATCGTGCTCAATGATTGATGACTGTGATGATTGAACTATTACTGCTTGTACTTCTTAGGGTGCTAGTACCCATTACGTATAGCAGGGCTGTGATGAATGACCGAGATGGCAATAAATCCATTGTGATTGCTCTGTTAGTGTCAAATGTATGCGCTTCCGATTACCCTGATTCAAAACAAGGAAACACATCCGCATTCGGAGTGCCTGTTGCGCGAAGGAGCAGATGGAGCAATTCAACAAGTTAATAAGAAAAAGAATCTAGAGCTGGGAATCGGAAATTCCGAAACAAGGAAGCCGTTGTCTCAGCCGACAGGTCGGGGCTCGGGGCAAAGCCCGACAACCCCACCATAACCCTAGTTACCCCTCACATTCTTGTTTGCGCGACCCCACTTGGGACTCTTGGGGCCGTCCAAGAGGGACCTGGCAGATCGCCCGGCACACGTCAAATGGCAAGACGAACAAGCGATCCGGACGGACGCTTCGATGAGACGTTGTCGGATCGGATACCAGAAGTTGGGAATTGATTAATAAAACTTGGTTTCCTCTTTTCTCTATATACCGTATGGTCTTCCCTGCTCTTCTCCGCGCATTGATTTGAACCATTCATACATTAAGATAAATAAACATGTCGTGTACGTATTCAAACATTGAATTCAAACAAGAGCACAGTGCAATTGCGCGGCAACAACTAACAGTACTCAGCAAAACATTTTATTCACGATCCTACGCACCTCGTCAATACGGCGCTTCTGAGCATCCCAAAGACGAATCCGTCTGTGCAGTGCGATATTGAGAACAAGATCATATATCGCAAGAATGGCGCGTCACAAGTTTCCATTGTCTCTGGTGGTGGTAGTGGTCATGAGCCTTCATTCGCTTCTTTCGTTGGTGCAGGTCTTCTTTCTGGCGCGGTAGCAGGCACCATATTCGCATCTCCAAGCGCAGAGCAGATACGAAGGTGTATCTTGCATCGCATTCAGAAAGACAAGGGTGTCCTCGTGATTGTAATGAACTACACCGGCGACGTGCTGAATTTTGGTATGGCCGTAGAGAAGGCACGTGCTGCTGGCATCGAGGCCGACATGGTGGTTGTGGGTGACGATGCTGGTGTAGGGAGGGCCAAGGGTGGAAAAGTAGGGCGAAGAGGCATCGCCGGGACTGTACTTGTCCAGAAAGTTGCTGGCGCGCTTGCAGCAAAAGGGTATGGAGCGATACCAACCAGAGTGATGGTGAAGAGGCAGTTTCACTAACAAGATACAGAGCGAGTCTCAAGGATGTAACGCGAGTCGCGCAACTCGTCGCCGACAATACAGTCTCAATTGGATCCTCACTAGCACATGTCCACGTACCAGGTCGCCGAGAGGCTGAAGAGGATGAGCTGAAAGACGGCCAAGTCGAGATCGGGATGGGCATTCATAATGAAGCTGGCTCAGAGCGCAAATCCACCGATCTTCCCGGTCTCGTGAAAACCATGCTTTCGCATTGTCTCAATGTCGCAGACAAAGATCGTAGCTTCTCTTCCATAAACGCAGAGGACGAGGTTGTGCTGTTGATCAATAACCTAGGAGGAGTTAGTCCGCTCGAGCTGAGCGGTATCACGAACGAGGTTGTCGAGCAACTGGCGAATGACTTCAAAATCAAGCCTGTGCGCATACTCGCCGGTACTTTCATGACGAGTTTGAATGGACTCGGCTTTAGCATCAGCATGCTCAAAGTAGCCGATACACAATCACTAGGTGCTTCCATGCTTGAGCTACTCGATGCACCTGCTGAGGCGAGTGGTTGGGCTGCAGCAATCAGTAGTAGCACATGGGCAAGACGCGACGAGGCAAAGAAAAACGAAGAAAAGGTAGACGAAGAAGAAGTCTTGCCAAGTGATTTGAGAGGTGAGTAATGCACGGCACAGCATAGGTCATGCACTGACGTCGAATAGTAAACTACGCCCAAGCGAAGTCAGTATTGACAACTGCACTGAACAGACTGATAGCCGCCGAGCCTGATGTCACCAAATATGACACGATCGTGGGAGATGGCGATTGTGGAATCGGACTGAAACGTGGCGCAGAAGGTAGGCTCTTCATCACATGTGCACTGTTGCCTGGTGCTGACATCCTACAGCAATTCTGAAGATGCTCGAAACGGCAAAAGAAACAGATGATCTGCTGATCCTCATAAACAACATCATTCAAGTGGTTGAATTAGCAATGGACGGGACGTCAGGTGCAATTTACGCCATCTTCTTGAATGCACTAGCCCATGGATTACGAAAGAATTCGCCTTCTTCCCCCCGACCCGTCACTCCTGCAGTTTGGGCCAAGGCTCTCGACTCATCCCTCAAAGTACTTGGCAAATATACGCCTGCAAAGCCCGGTGATCGAACGCTAATGGATGCTTTGTATCCATTCATTGAGACGCTATCCAAGACAGAAGATGTCGACAAAGCAGCTGCGGCAGCGCAGGGAGGAGCGCAGGGAACGAAAGGAATGAAAGCGAGCTTGGGACGGACGGTGTACGTTGGAGGCGAAGGGTTCCAAGAAGTTCCTGACCCTGGTGCGCACGGTCTCGCAGAACTTCTGCTGGGCCTGAGTGACGGATTGAAGAAGTAAAGGCTGATGGGTATCGTTCTTTGATTCGTTCGGTGGTCATCGCCGACTTTGCGGCGTCGATTATATAACTTTTAATGCATTCGAACTCTAAATTGCGTGCGTCCATCTTGCACTCCCGTCTCAACACCAGGTCGCGTCCAGATTCTTATGAGAGCAAGACGAGGATGACGGAATCGCCTCGGAGAAACCTATGCAGAGTCAGCACATTGCGCAAAACGTACACATCTATCAGACGTACAGCTTGGAAATGAAGCGATCCTTGTTAACCTTCCTTCCATAGCTACCGTTGGCTAACCGTGGCGTCTCGGTCCACATCTCCTTGGCATTCTCGAGGACCATGTTGCAGTGGCGGTCAAAAGCCTTCACGCGTGCGAGGATCTTGCGGTTGTTTCGGCACGAAATCAGCACTTGTGTGCGCGAGCGGACGGCGGTCTGAAGAATAGAAAGAGGACCGGTGGTGAGCTCATGCTCTTCAACTTGCGCGACCTCGTACTCCCTAAGTAGAAACGTTAGCCTCTTTGCACCATTGAATAGGACAGGAGAATACATACGTCAACTCGGAGCGTGGCTTGGACAGAAGCTCCCTGTGAGGTATCAGTACTGAGCTTGCTATTGGAGCTTGCGTGCTTTTACTCACTGAATCTTCGCGTCGACCATTTTGACAGGCGGTATGGGGTAGTAAGCGCGGATCTAGAAGAAAAAGAACCTCTATTTCTAGTTGCTGTTAACAACCTGAGTCCTCAGCTTCTGCCTTCGAATTTTGATTTGCAGCTCGAACAGGTACTGCGCAAGGATTGGGTCGAGCAAAAGAAGTGCACAGACCAGTGGCGGAAAGACTGACCTAGTTTAGAGAGGTAGGACACCACGGCAACGAGCTTGGATGAGGTGGAGCGGTCGGCGATAATGGTGAGGCAGGGCGATGAAGTGATCGAGCTTGGCTGAGATGAAGCGCGGGTTGCGGTTTTTCCGGCGCCGGGCCAATCAGTACGCGTCAGATAGTGGGGCCATAGAGCCAGATCCATGGTGCGTCACGCGTCTTTGCCCTCTCCCGGCGTTAGCGCGGCGCGGGTAGCTGGAAACCTCTAAGCTCGTGCCTCCATCTTCTCTTCGATTGCACACGACATCATTGACGACACCCTTTTATTCCCCTTTCCTAGCCGATCTACGCGTGTTGGTGCCTGTTTCGCATCTCGCGTCTACCGGAATACATAACCGGCCCCTTCCCCCCCGCCAATTTTGCTTCCCACTCGATCCTAGTCTCGCTTCTTTGTTCTCCAAGAACGCGTCCGCTATGATCGCACGCCAGCCACCGATCGCGATACGACATTGATCATATCCCGTCCATCCCCCGGCGTCCCTCCTCTCTTTTTTTTACGGCACGGCCTGTCTATCCTTCGTCAAGCCCATAGTCAGCCATGTCGACTCCTTCGAGTATTACGCTAGAGACGGGTCCCTCGCAGCATGCCTTGACTCCTGCTGCTGGTGCCGAGGATGGCGTCATGGATGAGATCCCACGCCGACAAATGCGAGGTAAACAGATTCAGCTCATCATCACGCTCTGATCTAACATGGCTCTTCATCAGTCAAGGTCTTGTATACGTTTGACGATCAGAACAAATCAAACTGTCTCGCTCGTCTGCCAAATGTCCTCAACATTCCTGTCGTTTCGCTGGACGAGACTACCGAAGTGGGAGTCATCGAACTCAAGACATGCATTCAGGCTATTGTCACTGCAAGGTAGGCTACTCCCATTGGTCATGTAAGACACATTGCTCACCTTCACAGTCCTGAGCTTGTAGCCAAATTAGGACACGATTACACCGTGTACGCTTATGACTTTTCCGAGTACGAAACACCGCTTGTTGGACAGGGTATGCTATCGTGGCTTCTAGCTTCTGCATCATCAACACCCAATGCTCCTGCCAAGGACTCCCAAACCATGGTCACAGGTCGCGTATGTAAAAATATTCTTGGCATTTTCTCAAATGGTATCAAAGAGACTTTAGAAGTCAAGTTGAAGCTGGTGCCTGTTCCGACGTGCATGCAGAAAGAATATGTGGAGAATATGGAGCGATATCATAGTCTCAGCCAGATGATGCCCGAAGGATTTGACTATAACGCCTGGTCCGACTTCCTGAAAGAGAATCCTATGCTTGGTCACCTGGCCCAACCAACTACGACCCACTCTGCTCAGCCTTCGCCACGTCATTCCGTTGGTGGTGTTGAGCCTTTCCACCAGATGCTTACCCGCCAAAGCCCCTCGCAGGAACCCGTCCGTAACGAATCATTCTACGACCAATCGAATACGCCCTTCATGTCCCAACCAACCAGGCCTTCTAGCCCCGCCATGAGCACCATTTCCTTCCATCACTATCAATATAATCCACCTTCACGTCCAACATCACGGGCTTCTGTGCGTAGCGAAGCCCCTCCACCAACCCAACAATACCAATTTAGTGATCCGTATATTGTGGAGCCGCAAGACGACGGTCCCCCGAAGAAGAGGGCTCGAATCACACAGACCACGAGACCAAGGAATACGCCCCTGACTGCTCATAACGACTCACTCCGAGTGACCGCTAGTACAGCAGCATCGGTACGCCTCCTTAAACCAACCTTCAACGCTGCTGGAGCTGCCGCAGACATGGTCCCGCGCGCACCAACTCCTCGTCCAGGTGAAAAGCTAGGACAACGAGGTGGTCGTCGTCCCCCCGCACCAAGCGCTCTGAGACACGCATCGATGGACGGAGGACGCCCATACATGTCCCCTTACGAACCTAGTACCTTTTCAGACAATGCTATGGAATCAGCAGACGAAAGAGAAGGAAGCCCAAGTGAGACACCGAATGAGATGCCCTCTTCACCACCAATCGCACCCCGGCGGACCATATCACCTGCTCCCTCCAGTCCGAACCTACCGACACTACCCCTCAACGATTCAGGTTTTGTTAGTGACATTCCCATGGGACGAGACACTGATGGCATGAACTGTGGGGATGGCCCATGGGCACGCCATGAAGCAGCGCAATATCGCCGAGGATCAGCTGCTCAACCAATCACTGAAAGTATCGAAATGGATATGTGCAGTACTCAGCCGTTCGACTTTGACAACATGGACCAGGATCTTCTCAATTGTGTATATTTCCAGGGACAAAATCCGAAAAGTGAAAGTGATCTACTATCAAGGATGGCGATAAATGAGCACGACAACAATTCGGTCAGCGGACGACCTCATACCGGGGACGCATTCCAATCTGCATCTGTAGAAAAGGCTCAGACTCGGGAAAAGTCGCATGCGACATTTTCTACTGCTGGGTCACCCGATGGCATTTCTTCACAAATCTCACCCGCCCCTGAAAGCGAAGCGCAAGTATACAGCCGTTCCGCCACGCCAAATTTACCAGCAAAACAACCTAAACAAACCAAGGCACGAGGACTTCCTAGATCGCAAACCTGGTCTGGAACAGGTGAACCCATGTCGGACGCACCAACTCCCTCAGAGTGTGGCTATACTCGAAGCGGCTCTGGTGCTAAGAGGAAGCGATATATCAAAGACCGATTGGACGCTGCTATCAGAAAGGGTGAAATGCCACCGCACTGTGTCAACTGCGGAGAAATCGACACTCCTACTTGGAGAAAAGCCTACACTCGAGTGGAGAATGGTTCGCCTAGTGGCATTGAATTGTCCACTGATTCGGCTAGTACAGACATCATTGCCTACGAGGTAATCGAACCAACTTCTGAGACAGATGGCGAGCCAAAGTACCGTATCTTCAAAAACAACTTGACGCGTCAAGATAAGGACATGATGGCGGCGAAATCTGGTGATGCTTTCCAAGAGCTTAATCTGTGTAACCCATGCGGACTTTGGCTTATCAAGAAGTTTTCGATGCGTCCGCAAAAAGTATGGGACAGGTCTGCACGACTAGCAAAGCGCAAGCGAGAACAGAAGATTGGAGCACGCTCCAGATCGACTGTTGGTGATGATCTCATGTCGGACGCCGCTTTTCCAGAGACGGAATCTACTATGCCAGCCGAGCAGGAGCTAGGCGGGAAATCAGTTGATGGAACATACGACGGAGAGATGGCACCACCCAAGGCCCCATTCGGCGCACGTGAAATGGATGCCAACAATGCCCAGGCTGCTTTCAGACGAGCTATGCAATCAAGTCCTGCGGGCGTCAGAGGAAGCAAGACTTTGCCCATCAATCTCGAACAAGATCTTACACCAAAGCCTACACGGCGATTGCTTTTCCCCTCGCCTCGGAAGCAAAGTCAACGCAAGACTCTGACTCAACAGGCGACTGGTCCTGTCGCTACTCCTATGCATGCACATGACGATGATGCGCCTAAAAAGCCTCGTTGCCAACGGTGTAAAGAACTCAAGAGAGCTTGCGACCGAGAACGGCCATGCGGTCGGTGCGAAAACGCTGGAATAGGGCATGATGGATGTATTCCTTGCGAGACGAAAAAGACCAACTGGTTCGAGCGACCTGTAGTACAACCAGTTGTCGTTGAGCAGGATAACCCCGATAAGGAGAACTGCCCACCTCCACCTACATTGGAGGTTGACGAGCTTGATCACCTTTTTGAAGACTCCCATTCCCCCAAGACAACGCCGAAGCAAGATCGGATAGCTGAGGATCTTTTGAAAACGCCCACTCCTGGTACTCGACAGCGCGCCGCCCTGACGCCGAGACGAGGTACTGAAAATGGCGAGGTTCCTACCACGCCCTCGCGGAGCACATTTACTCCTCGAGGCAACCGCACGGGGACTGCTGCTCCGGACACCCCATTCACACGCCAGCTCAATGCACTTCTATCAGACCATCCCATTTCATCGCCTTCTCAAAATTTTGACTTTTCCTCATTTCCTATCTTCACTCCTCCTGGTCATACTGGGGCACAGTTCAGCGAGCTCTTAGCCGACGACTTCTTGTCGAGTGACATGCCTATGAGTAGCTCACCCTCGAAAACTGGGTCCATGAGTATAGGTTTCGATCTTTATGAGGACCCCAATACATCTACCGCTGGAATGTGGAATGGAGAGAACATCTTTGACAATGAAGTCATGTTGTTAGGCATGGACGATAACTCCAAGCGCTCCGGTATGGACGCCAGCAATGGCCCCGACGCAGTCACGCTGCTGAAGATGAATGTGGGTGGCATGACTGTCGATTTTGCGGCCATGATAGAAGAAGTCGTTGGTACCGCCACTAAGGATACTGATGGGCATGAGAACGAAGGCAGGTTCTTGGAAGACAGTGGTAGGTCTGCTCACAAAAGCCCAGAAGCAGAGAGTGAGGGCGTCGGTGGCACGCCCGAAGAGCCCACTTCTGTCTGAGGCTTTTTATGCCTATTGTTATGGCTCCATGATTTTGTTTACATGCCTGTTTGCCTTTACTGTAGATTCTTGTTTTTGAGAGGCGTTTAGCGATCTGGCACGTGCATGCTGCGGCTTTTAGATGCCACGAGGAAACGAGGCACACGATTACTTTTTGTACACTAGTCTTTGTAGTAAGAGCAGCAGCTCGGCAGCCCGGCATCTGAGGCACGAGTTCTGGTAAATGGCGAGCGTATTGTACGCACCTTCGAAGGATACCCAATACATATGTTAGGCATTATATAATTCCTTCATTACAGTAAAATTGTTTTAA